GAGGCCTTTTGCTTCTCTAAGTCAAGTGCCAGACGCCAAAGCCAGGCTGGGGGAAGTTCTTTAAGTTCTGAGTCATGACCCAGTTTTAAGTAGAGCCAAAACACAATTTTGGAGGTTGGTGTCAGTATTCAAACAAACAAACAAAGTTCCAGAGCACATCATGTTTGTAAAAGCCTTGGGAACTTACGCCATGCACTTGGGTCACGTGACTGTGTCTGCATCAGACTTGCCTTCCACTGTGGGTTTTGGCAAAATGTCCGGAAGCTGTTGGGTCTCGCGCATGGCTGGGAGGGGGCTAGTGCTCATGTCTGACCAGTAAGGGTGGCCCTGAGCCCCCTTGCCCCTCATGGACAGCTGCTGTCTGTCCCTCACTTGGACTCTGAGGTACTCCCGTGGTGGTGACAGCAGTGTGTGAGCACCCCTGCTCTTCCCATGCCTAGGCAAGGGACATGGCTCAGGGACAAAGTGTCCCTGGGTTCAATCCTTAGCGCCTGCTCCCTCCCTGAGGCTTCCTGCCTGGGCAGAAGAGCCTCCGGAACCTCAGGAAGCCCATTCCCTTGTGTTGGAGAAGGAACCCACCTGGGCTGCTTCCTTCCAGAGGCAGGCCCTGGGCACTTGGGTGTCCTTTTGAGCCAACAGCTTCATCTGAGGACACAGTCTGAGCTCCCAGCCTCCCAGCCCCGCTTGCTTTCAGACTCCAGCTGGGGTCTCTGCTATGGGGGATCCTTTGTCAAACACAGTAAGCTCAGTCTGGTAGAACTCTTAAGGGTGGTTGGTGCCTGTCCCTCTGAGACTTGCAGAGGCACCATATGGGACTGTCCGCCAGGTGGCTCCAGAGTGGTTTCTCCACCACCCATTGTTTGGGGAGATTAACAGGCTCCTCTGTCAGAAAGCTGCTGGGAGCTCTGAAGCCAAGAGTGCACCCTTCCTGCTGCTGTGGATGCTCTGCGCTGTTGAATCCTTGGTTTTGTTTTGTTTGGCGCTAAGGATTGAACCCAGGGACACTTTGTCCCTGAGCCATCTCCCCAGTTACGAGGTCCTGTTGAAACGAGCTGGATTGTCCTGTGTGTGGAACAGCAACTTCAGTCATGCACGCTGTCCTCCATGTGGGACCTCCATGTCCACCAGTGCCTCAGGGTTCCTGGAGGGATGGCTGGGGACAGAGGGGAACTTTGCCCAGGTTTCCTGGTCCTTGTTTGGATCATGCTTTGCATCTCCATGGTCCAGAGATGCTGAGGACCAAAGGCCAGTCGAGTGCCAGGAGGGCCCTGCTCTTCTCAGGGGACAAGGTTGCTTTGAAGACCACACCCAGCATCAGGAGGCTTGGGGGCAAGTGTGACCTCAGGGTGCCGCACTGCCTAGCGCCAGGCAGGCTGCATGTGGTGAGGGTCAAGGGGGCAGGTGTGTGTCCATGGAGGAGACCCGAGTCCACCTGCCACCTATGGATAGGCTGACTTCTCCTCAAGGACTTCACATTCTTCTTCCTGTGTCTGCATCCTCTTTTGTGGGCGGAGCTATTCTGCGTCTTGAGAAGGCCAGGAGGGATCACGGGCGGGACTGGCAGGAGCTTCTGGCCTCACCCAACCCGCCATGGCCCTGCTCTTCTGGCCTTGCCACACCGTCTGTGGGAGGAGCACCCACCTGCTGGGGCCCAGCCCGGTGCTGCTGGGGCTCTGGCTTCAGTCTCCTCAGCCACCTTCACTTGGTCCATTTCCTGTCCAGACAGCGGCTGCTAGTGGTCCAGAGTCTCCGGAGGGCTGGGAGGTGGGCAAAGCCGCAAAGCCACAGCAGGTAGGCCAGGCATGTTTAGCTGCGTTTGTCACCGAGTAGCGTCCGAGCTGCCAGCTGCAGGTGGTGCCAGGTGTGCAGGAGGAGGAGATGGCCTTCGGGCCACAGAGGCCATGTGTGGCTGAAGAGGCACCAACTGTGAAAGATTACCAGTACAAGCCGCACTCACCTGCCACTGGGAGGGCTAGGCAGAGGCCCGGGTGCCAGCCTAGTCCTAGTTTGGGGTCAGATGGCGCCCTGAGGCCTGGCTGGAGCAGGCTCCTCCTGCACCATATATGCAGCCTCTGCTTGTCCCAGCAGTGGCCTCCTGTGTCCTGCTCACGCTCCTCCTGCTGCCCCAGGCCCTACCTGGCCTCCTCTGGTTCTCTGGCCCATCTCCAGAGTGGAGTCTGAAGCCTGGGCCCTTCCCCTGGCCCTCCTTCCTCCTGGCGGCCAACCTGCTCCTCTGCCTTGGTCCCGGCCCAGCTGGCCTCCTCCCTGTACCATGTGCCACCTGGCTGCCTGGCATCTCCCCCATGCCCTCTGGCCTATTCCCACCCTGCAGGCAAAGTGATGTTTCTGGATCACAGCTTCAGACTGCATAGCTGTGACCCGACTGCCTGCCTCTGCCTATGCACCTGGCAGCACCTGTGCCTTGTTCTGCCTCCCACAGGGCCCGCCTGCAGGAGCTGACGTGGCCACACCGTGCCCCTAGACAGGCAGTCAGTGGTTGCTTCCCCTTAGCCTGGCTCTTCACGGGGGAGAGGGAGCTCCCGCGTAGTGGCCGCTTGGCTCCAGCTCAGCGGCACCCAGGGCCTTGGCGTCCTCCTCTGTGAAGTGAGGCTGTGGTAGCGATGCCGGAAGAGGAGGCTTAGGGTGCTCTTGGATGGGCCTCTTTGTGTGTGCAGCAGCCCCGTGGGGTCACTCCTCCTCCTCCTGCAGGGCTGATGGGTACGGTTCTGACTTCGAGGCAGGACCAGATGTCCTTGGGGAACGTTCCCTTAGAAATATAATTTTAGATTTTGTTTCTTTTTCCTTTTGTACCAGAGGATACCCAGTGGCTCTTAACCACTGAGCCACATCCCCAGCACTTTTAATTTTTATTATGAGACAAGGTCTTGCTAAGTTGCTTAGGGCTTTGTCAAGTTGCTGAGGCTGGCCTTGAACTTGCAGGCTTCCTGCTTTAGCCTCTGAGTAGCTGCAATTACAGATGTGCGCCACCAGGCCAAGCTATTCTTGGGTTTTTGTGACATATTCAGAATATGCATCCTGTGACTTGGCTTCACTTGAGCACTGGCGTCATCCCATTCTGACTTAGGAAGGGCCTAGCTTCAGCTTATCACCAGCTGTGCAACCTGGACAGATTGCCTGACCTCTTTGGTTTCACAAATTCTTACTACAGGACCAGAACCGTGCTACGCTGGGTCTGTCGGAAGGGAGGCTCCCACATGGGGAGGAAGAAAATGTTTACTGTTTGAGGAAACAGAGATGGTTGAAGTAAAAATGTTCAGTTGGACATTGCTACAGATAATGAGTTGATTCTAGAGTGACAGGGCAATGTTGACTTTAGGTTTTATTCCATACAAGGTTAGATGGTTTGATCCAGTAGCCAATGTTAGAGGAGGCCAGATGCCTGAGGGGGAAATTATTAGCCACAAAATGCTACAAGCAACCACAAAATAAAAATCAGCACTTAATTTAAAAGTCTGCACGGGGACCCTGGCAGCGCTACACCTGGCAGATTGAGTGTTACAAAGCCCATAGGGACCAGTGTTCACTGCTGCAGGTGTTGGCTCCTGCGTGTTTGCCTACATTGTTGCAAAATCATTGCCAGGAGTCAGTTTCAAGCTTATAACCAACCAAATAATCTCACTAGTATCTCTTCCGGAATCTTTTGGAGGGGGAAATTTCAGTTGTAACACAGACACATTTTAACATGTTTATTACCGCCTGGGATCGACCACCTAACTACCAGGCACCTGTGAACTGAAAGGCTGTGTGCCGGAGGGGATACCCTCCCCCAGTGGGTGCCCCACACTGTGTGCTTCATCCGCCTTCCCAGGGCTGTGCAGTAAGAGACTTCATGCTTTGCTCAGCTTTGAAAGCCAGGGAAGGACAGGCTACTTGAGGTGGGGGGCTGCAGCCAGCTTCCCTTCAGTCACAGCACCCCTCAAGTAGGAAGCAGGTTATCAGCAGGGAAGCTGCACTTGGAGTTGGAGTCTGCTGGCCCAGGCCCCAGGAATTGCCTTTCTTGCCGATTTCACTGTATACCATGAAAAGCCAGCAGTCTGTGTTGGCCCACGGTGCCTGAAGCAGGGCAGGAGTGGCTGGGCCGCAGGGATGGGTCCTGCCACACAGCATCCCATGTGTGGATAGCAGGGGCCCAGGGGCTTCTGCCTGGGTTGCGTGAGACCCCTTCTCCCTTGGTGCACAGAAGTCAGGTTGAAGAGTTCTGTAGTCATAGAGCTCTCCCTTGGCGTGATCCAGTGCTGACCAGTGAGAGCACATTGTTGGCCCAGATGAGTGGGATAAGTCTGCTGGAGCCGAGTCCTGCTCAGCCTTCACACTCGGTATTTAACCTCAGCTCTGCTCCATAGTTGTCCCCAGATAGCCCCAGGCCCCTGCCCCATGGCTGTCCCCGGCCAGCCCCAGGCCCCTGCCCCATGGCTGTCCCCGGCCAGCCCCAGGCCCCTGCCCCATGGCTGTCCCCTGGCCAGCCCCAGGCCCCTGCTACATGGCCATCCCCAGCAGGCCAGGCCTCTGCTTTATGGCCATGCCCCAGCCAACCATAGGCACCTGCTCTATGGCCATGCCTGGCCAGCTCCAGGCCCCTGCCCCATGGTTGTCCCCTGGCCAGCCCTAGGACCTTTCCCAGGCATCAGTGGGGTTAGTATGGGCCGTGTAACTGCTGGAAGGGCTCCAGGCTCCTCAAGAAGGTGCCCACAAATTACTGGGATGTCAGAGCCACCTTCGCCTCGTGGCCATGACTACTGCGTAGCCCTCTGCCTGTCCCACACACCCTTAGAGTTGTCCTGTGGGACCAGGTGTGGACCTCCCTGGAAAGGCCTCTCCCACACTCCTTTCCCTGGCCTTGGGCCATCTTTGGGCTGTCAGGAGGGGCCTTGGAGCTCTCCTTGCTTACCGTTGCAACCTGGGGTCTGCGGGTGTCGCAAGGCATAGTGTGTGGAACGGACGGCTGGAGGCATGCTCACTTGGTGTCTTTGTTCCCCCAGGAGGACTGGAATGAAATCGACCCCGTTAAAAAGAAAGACCTTCACCACAGCAACGGCGAGGAGAAAGCACAGAGCGCGGAGACCCTCCCTCCAGGTACTGTGCCAGGCCAGGCTGAGGGCTGGGCTTTGCTGCTGGGGTGGGGAATGGAGCTCCTGAACCAGCTGGACCCTGCCCAAAGCTCGGCTTTGCTGCTCTGGCCTGGCCACTGGCAGGGCCCCCAGCAGGGCCACGGAAGGTGGTTTCATTGGAAGTTTACTAGGGGTGACTGAAATTTCCTGAAAGAGAAAGTGGAATGAAGTAGAAAATGTGACAGCGTGTGTCCATTTGTGGAAGTTTAGAAAGTAGGCTTTTTAGAGTATATTTAGTGTGCCCCATGCACACACACTTCCCCGTGCGCTGGCCGGGCTGGAGTGGGCGTCTACGCCACCGTGATTTGCATGGACCTCTCTCTGGCTCTGCCTGCCATTGGGCCTTCTGCGGGTTTGACCCAGCCTAGTGGCATGCCGCCATCTCTATAGTCTTGTGGACCAGGCTCACTGCCTGAGAGTCCCCTGTGCTCTGCCCGTTCCCCTTCCCTGGAGCCCAGCTCTGTGCCCTCTCCCCAGCTCTGTCTTTCCCAGGGCGTCATGGCTGGGGTCGCGCAGCCTGCAGGGGCTTGTTGCACTGGTGCTGTGTGTGAGGTCCCTCTGTGCCTCTCCTGGCTCAGTGCCCCTTTCAGCAGTGGATAACAACCCCTTGTCAGGATGGACCACAGTTTGTCCACTGGCCTGCTGAGGACTCCTGGTGGTAGTTATTAGGAAGCTGCTGTAGACGTCCTGAGGCTGGTTCTGTGCAGCATAAGCTTTAGCTCGCCTCAGCCCTGCCGCTCAGACGTGTGGGAGGAACATGTCCTGTCTTGAGGGAAACAGCCAGATTGTCCTCCACGGTGCCTGGGGAAGGACAGCTGTTGCTGTGTGCCAGGGCCTCAGCAGCATTTGCATCAGTGTTCAGGAATCTGGCCCCTAGCAGGTGTGCAGTGGTACTCCCCTGTTCTAAGTCGTGGTTCCCTAATGTCGCATGGTGGGGAGCGCCTTTCCGTGGGTATTTATCATCTGTGTATCTTCTTTGGTAAGGTGTTCCTGTCTTGTGCTCACTTTCAAATTGGGTTTTTCATTTTCTTCCCACGCTTTAAGAGTGCTCTGTGTATGCTTTCTCCTGTTTTCCATAACCACTGATCTCCCTGTCTGTGACTTAACTTCTTATCTTCTGATGGTCTTTCCCAGAGCACAGTTTGGGGGAGTCTCTCTCCACCAGACTCCCTCTGCTCCTCGTCCAGGACTCGTTGGCTGCGTTTGCCTGTGCGTTGCCTGCTGCCTGCTCAGTAAAGCTAAGGTGCTGTCTGTTCTCTTGCTAGCCCCACACTGTCTTGGTCATGGTGACTTTACTCCTCTTTTTGATCTTGGGTTTTTTGCTGTTCCATGTGATGTTTTAAACCTGTTTGTTGATATTCACAAAATAACTTGCTGAGATCTTGATTGAGGCTGCATTGAACTATAGGTGAAGTTGGGAAAACTGACATCTAATAATATTGTATCTTTAAATCCGTGAACATGGGGTACCTCTCCATTTATTTAGTTCTGTCTTACCTCAGAGTTTTATAGTTTTCTTCTTACATATTTTATTAGACTTAAGCTAAATATTTGATTTCTTGAGGTGCTAATATAAATGGCATGTGTGTTTCAATGTCTGCTTGCTCACTGCTGATATAAAGGGAAGTGATGAACTTTGGCTTTTCACTTAGTATCTCACAATCTTGGTGTGATCACTTACACAAGGTTTTTTGATTCAGACTTTCTGCATAGACAACCATGTCATCTGTTAGCAAAGACAGTTTTATTTCTTCCTTCTCAGTCTTTACACCCTGTGTTTTTCCTGCCTTATTGACTAGGACTACAGTAGCATGCTGAAAAGGAGCGGTCAGAGCAGACATACCCTCGTTCCTGCACTTGCCGTCCAGCAGGATGGCAGCTGTGGTGCCGCAGTCCGGCTGCAGCAAAATAACCCGGGGGGGGGGGGGGGAACTTGTGTAGATTGATACACCAGGAGTAGGAGCCATTTATTGCAGGACAAGAGCAGTATTTATACATTCCACACAGCTTATCTAATTAGCATAAACTAGATACATCAGTTAACCAATAAGGAATCTCCACACTTAATGGCTTGTTTTTGTTACTTCTCAAACCACTCCCTCTGGCATTTTGCCAGCACCATCCAGACTTGTTTACGAACTCTAACATTCCCCTGGCAAAATGCCAGGTGTTATTTTGACTTGTTTACAGACTCTAACACTGTGGGTTGGCTGTAGGTCTTCCTTATCAAGCTGGGGAAGTTCCCCCTCCATTCTTAAGTTTTCCCAGATTTTCTGTCCTGAGTGATGTAGGGTTTTGTTGAATGCTTTTTTTTGTATCTGCTGATATGATCATGCAATTGTATTTTTAGCTATTTGTTATGATGGATTACATTAATGCATTTCATTTGTCCAGCCAACCTTGCATGACTAGGGTAAATGCCACTAGTTGTAAATGCCACACAGTTGTTTCCATACATTGTTGGGTTTGATTCAGTAGAATTTTATGAAAGATTTTTGCTTATGTTTGTGATAACAGATGTTATTCTGTAGTTTTCTTGTAATGTCTTCCTCCGCTTTTGGTATTAGAGATGTTTTGGCCTCATAGGATGAGTTGGGGCGTATTCTCTTCTGCTTTCATCTTCTGAAGACCACTGTAGCGAATTGCTAGAATTTCTTCATTGAATGTTTTGTGGAATACACCAGTGAAAACGTCTTGTGCTGTTCTGGAAAGTAGTTGATGATGGGTCCAATATCTGTAACAGACACAGGCCTCTTCAGATTGCCTGTTTCTTATCCGAATTGTGATAGTTTGTCTTTCAGAGATTGGTCAGTTTCATGTAGGTTATCAGATTTGTGGGCAGTAAATTATTTGGACTATTCCTTTTGTTGTCTGTGGGACCTGTGCTAATGTCCTTCTTCCATTTCTGTTGTTGACCATTGCGTCCTCTGTCTTTTTCCCTTAGCCTGGCCAGATTTTTTGATTCATTAATTTTTCTCTGTCAATTTCCTCAGATTGCTTGAATTGATTTCTGTACTAATTCTTATTATTTCTTCTGCTTATCTTGGACTTAAACTTCATCATCTTGTTCCACTTTTTGAAGATGAAATCTTGGGTTTTGACTATTTCTTTTCTAATACAGGCAGTCAATGCTGTCATTTTTGCAAACGTTTCTTTCATTGCACCCAACAAATATGGATAAGTGGAATTTTCATTTTCATTTGATTAAAAAGTCTTTAATTTTTTTTCTCAATTTTCTTTGATGTACAGGTTATTTAGGTATGTATTGTTTAATCTCATTAGTGTTTGGGAATTTTCCATCTGTCTTTTTGCTGTTGATTTCTAGTTTAGTTCCTTTGTGATCTGAGACCTGACATTTGGTGTTTTCTGTCCTCAACTTGTTAAGGTGAGTTCCATGTCCCAGAGCGTCTCCTGTTGTGGAGAAGGTTGCATGTGAGCCTGAGGAGTGTGCTCTTTGGTGTTGCATGAAGTAGGCTGTGGGTGTCAGCTGTATCCTGCTAGTGTTGCTGCTGTTCCCAGCTGCTGGGCCTGCTATGTGTGCAGGAGGTCATTCAGGTCCCCAGCGATCACGTGAACTCTTCCCCGCTGCTTCCAGGTTGTGGGTGTTGCCTCTCATCTGAGCCTCACCATGGATTTCTGTTGCTGGGACTGCTGTGTCCTAGAGTATTGGCCTCTTTGTTGTACGACATCCCTCTTTGTCCCTGACCTCTCCTGGCTCTGAAGTCTGTGTGTCAGATGCCATTGCAGTGGTTCACACCCTCTTCAGTGGTGACGTGGCAGATTCTGCTCCCTCTTGGTATTCTCCATCTCAGGTGTCTTCGTATTTAAAGTGGGTTTCTCTTCATGTCATTTAGGCTTGGTGGAAACCCCAGCAAGCCGCCTCTGGTCAGTTTCTCCCGGGGCAACATGTTAAGGGCAATGCTGTAGCACATGTCACAGTGGCTCCTCCTTCCCCTGCCAGAACACAAGGACTTCTGCTCCTACCCTTACTATCAGGACCTGCGAGGGTTTATGAGTGCCTCTGGCTGGGTTCCCTGAGGTTCCCATGTCTATAGATGGTTCACACTGAGCTTCTAGTACCTCATCAGGTGTGGGGCAGGTTCCTGCTAATGGGTGTGTGCTCCTGTCTGTTCTCCCAGTCCCACTCCAGCCTTGGGGTCTTGCTTCCCTAGGTCTGTACTTGTTACAGTGGAGCGAAGGCTTTCCAGTTCCTTATGTGCTGTCCCAGAAGCCCAATGTCTTCATGAGGGGAATTTATGTGGTGAATTCATGTTCCCTTCTGTGGTGGGGAAAGCACCACCCTAAGAACACAGGCCCTTCCTTTGTGTGCCCTCCTCATTCATTATCCCAGCCATGGCAGACATAAGGGCTGTCACCATCTCCTCCAGGCTTGGAGTGCACCTGCACTCCAGACCCAGGGGCATCACCATCCCCTTCCCGGCTCCAGTGTCCCTGTGCTCCGGAGCCTCACAGTGGATTTCCGGGTTCCAAGTGCCCCTGCTCACCAGACACAGGCACCTCATCATGGATTTCCAGGGCTCCCCTGCACCTGTGCACCAGGTGCCTCACCGTGGATTTCTAGGCTCTGGGTGCCCCTGCTCACCCAACACAGGTGCCTCACTGTGGATTTCCAGGGCTCCCCTGCACCTGTGCACCAGGTGCCTCACTGTGGATTTTCAGGGCTCCCCTGCACCTGTGCACCAGACACAGGTGCCTCACCGTGGATTTCCAGGCTGCGGGTGCCCCTGCTCACCAGACACAGGTGTCTCACTGTGGATTTCCAGGGCTCCCCTGCACCTGTGCACCAGATACAGGCACCTCACCATGGATTTCCAAGGCTCCCCAGCACCTGTGCACCAGGTGCCTCACCCACAACAGCCTTATGAGCCAGGTGTTGCAGGACAGGGGCTCCTGCTTCCTGCACCCCAGCAGGAAGACATGGCTCTGGACCCCACCCCACATGTT